TAGAGCAGGGGTTAGATGGATTGAGACTCCCTTGAGAGCCCTTCCCAGATTCTAATTGACTTGATTGTTAGGCAATTTTTCCTGATATCCAACTTAAATTTCTTTTTTGCTCAATTTCATCCTATCACTTCCAATTACATCTGACTGAACTGCTCAAAACAATTCTTGTCCTCTCTGTCTCCTGCCAATGAGGATGCAGCACACGCATCTCTTATTAGCACACCTTCACTTCAGAATTTATTGGCAATTCTGAGTATGGAGTTGACATTTTATGCCCACTTTGTACAGATGTCAAAGATATTTTATTATCCATGGAAGAAAACATAAGCCTGTGAATGTATGTAAATGATACAGGGCCTTCCCCCTTTCTTCCATAACTGAGACATGTGGTAATTAGAGTAAGAAAGCCTGAATGTAGCTAAGTTACCTTATGCAAAGAGACAGCTTCAGTGACAACATGGGCTTGGGAGGTCTCTCTTCCCCTCTGTTCTTACAATAATGTTCAAAATAATTGGGAAGATGAAGACAAAAAGAAGAAGTTGAAACATCTCTCAAAGGGAAAATACCAATGGAAAAAGAAAAGCTGCATTTCCTCAAACTACTTACTGGATGATGTTGTAGCAGAAACAATGACTTTTCCCCCAGTTTCTCAAAGAACATTGCAAATTGAGGAAACAATGGCTTACTCCCACCCACCTAAAATTTCAGCTCAAGACATCTGATGACAATAAACTACTGCAGTTCAGTATTTTTAGGAAGAACAGGACGTTACAATCTCCCTGTGTACTAAATCTGACAAAGAAGCCACAGGACGAAAAGAGCATCTGGAAAATGCTTATACATATAAATTGGATCCAAACACCTAAGGAACAATGGACTCATTTCACAGGTGCACTGAACTACTTGATCGGTAGAGCCAGAAGCAGGGAGTCTGGCCTCCGACAGTAGAAAATGGACTACTGTAGCCTGAGTAGCCCATTACTGACAAAAGCCTCAGTAAGACATTCAGATCATGTCTGCAAGAATGGTTATATTCCACAGATTGACTTATTCTGACAGCCCTCTGAGCTGCCAGGATATGAGGTAATGCCAGTCTAATAACAGACACGTTAGAATGTGGACCCATCTACCTTCACCCCTTTGTCCACATGTCCACAGGCACAATGCATTACAGCCCTTGGAAGGGGGTACTCTGACCGGTACCTGGATGAGAAAGCAACGGCACAGAGTAAATTTTGCCATGTTTCCAGAGGATGAGAATTCCCCCAAGAGTTGAGAAATCTCTCCAGGAGTGAAGCTGCTGGAGACAGCTTTGCTATGCCTTTCCACTGCACTGGTAAATTTGCAAAACCTTCTCCTGTGCCTAGACCATGTATTGATAGTACTCTAATTTTTTTTTCCTGAATCTCTTCTACATAACTTGGATCAAAAGTGAACATATTTTCGTAACTGCCTCGAACAGTCATGTAACAACAAGAGAAATGACACACAGTGAGCTTTGTGCCCATATACACACAGGCTGCCTGCAGTCATAATTGCATGTGTTTTCACAGTATATTTTTGTTAAGAGGAAGGATATATTGAGTTCACAGAATGTTGGTTTCTCATTATTATATGTAATTCCAAATAATAACAACAAAATGAGTTAAATTAAGAATTCAAAGCAAAGGGAGCTATATGTATTTGGAGGAGGCCACTCTGTTAGGTTCATTGTAGCTTCTCATCACTAATGAATCGCAAACCACATTCTATTTGGGGAATGAAGTGTTAAAACAGGCTAGGCAGTTCTCTTAACAGTTGTCAGGAATCAATACAGAGGCACCTGAATCAGCAATTTCCTGACTGACAGTCAGTCTCATAAATGCTGTAATACGGTTTTGAGCAAAGGCCACAGAATGAGCCATTTGATTTATAAGCTGGCATTGATGACAAGGTGTTGGACATTGTCACCGTTAAGGCGTTAAGCTTAGCCCAACTACAACTGCTTGCTTTCAGTCAGGGGTACAATGCCCTACCTGGCCAAGCTGTTCACAAGCTGTTTGATACTCAGCTCGCTGACAGAGGTCTTTCACACGCTGGTATTTGGGTAGAAAGTTTTCTTCTTGGGCATCTACCTTCTCATTCTCCCTCTTATGCAGCAGTTTACTGGCAAAGAAAGAAAGAAAGAAAAAAAAAGATATTTATTTTCATATTAATTCCAAGATATACATGCAGTTTGCTGAAAAGGCTCAGAGGAGTAGGTTATCTGCCAAGTCCATAGCATCATTGGTGGCCAAAACGTAATAGTCCAGTAGAAACTAGCACTTACCACCATCTCCGATAACTCACAAGTTACTCGTATCATGCTCTCAGGGAGTGTACAAAAACACACAAAACTAAGACAGTGTGTTTCATGTCTGATTGGCAGGCAGTGACAACAGTCGATATAAAAAGATCATATCCTCCCCACTCCACAGGGCTGCACTTTGCAAACCCTTCATGCCCCATGTTATGTATTAAGGCAGAGGCATAGAGCAAACGGCCAGCAGATGAACATGCAGAGAGGAAAGGTTATTCATACTCCCATGATACAAGCAGGAGGGTCGGGGCAGGGGGCAGCAGCTGAAAGAAAAACAGAATGCCTTTCCATCTCTCAATCCAAGTAAAACTCCCCTTCCCCCACCCCAACAGCACATTTATGCAGGCTGTAGGCAAAGACGATACATTCCCTCCTATCACACAATCACTGCCATTAGGCATACTGCAGCCGTGTCCCTGCTGGCACAGCTAAATGGCTTTAGGTCTGTGGTAGAGAGCTGCTTTGGCTTTAGCTATTCAGTATCCTTCTATTTAAAAAGACTGGGCTTTGTGATTAACACTTTCCTTACCCTCTTTCCACTAGGAACGAGTCTCTCCACACCTTCATCTTTTTCTTTAAATGGAACCTAGGAGGAAACGAGGAGAGGAAGAAGCAATTCCCACAAAACCAGTAATCAAGTCATGCCCCAGTTTTTGATCCCACCCCCAATTCAGATGAGAAACATTACATATAACTGCACAAGGGGACATCCAGCTTTATGAAGCAGGAACATAAAGTGCAAATCATGAGCAAACATAGGACAGATTTGTTCTCACAGGGTCAAAATCCACAACAGATTCACACAGTGCAACTATTTCAACATAAGCATGTTTAAGGCACAGGGGATTAACTGAATTGTCCTTGATCACAAAAGATCGCAAATTAAATCAGGATTTCCTGACTCCAGTTTGGGCTCTTAACCTGCACACTACCCCCAAAGTACCCTATTCTAAAGCAGCTGCTCCTTTCCGCCTCTCCCTCCACGCAGCTACTTGTAAAGCAAATCTCTTTCTTCCCTTTCTCTGCTGATTTTCTCTAGCAAGCATCCAGTCTAACTCTCTTCCTCAGTCTTTTTCCAGTGAAAGTATTGATGGAAGGTCTCAAATAATAACTGTGCAATTCTGAGTGCTAGTCTGTCTTTATATTATGGTCTGATACACAACCAACCCTTTCAACTCAATTATTCTACAATTTACTCAATATGAAATGCTTTGCTACAAATGATGCCACAGAGACATTTAAAATCTATAACTCATATAGCTAAAGACCTTCATGTGTAGCCCTCTCACTGCTACACAGATTACATTTAGTATATCCAGATGCCATATATGCCATATAGGTAGTATATGAGCCTGAAAAAATGAAAATAAATAACTGAAGTCAGTCACATATTGCCAAATAGGTCTTTTGATTTTCCAGTGAATGATGTACTCATATAGATGGTAATTTTATTATATTTTCCTTTAAATTTGCTGCATGTTGCTGAATACTTGCTCAGTCTCCTGTACAAACACACGCATGTTTACATGCACATTTCCATTTCTTACCTATTCACTGGTCTCTCAGAATCCAGAAGCTTTAGAATGGATTTACCATCCATATCAGATGGAATATCTAATCCGGCAATATCTAGAATTGTAGGTGCGAGATCAATATTCAGCACAATGTGAGGATTCCTGAAAAAACATATATGAGAACCTGGTTTAAAGTCTATGCAATGATACCAAGCAACTCCAGCTCTTCCACAGAGACCAGGGATCTGAAAAGGCTTATTTTGTAACACCTGCAAAGAAGAAAAGAGGACACAAGCCAATTCCTTCCCATGAAGGGAATTAAAATGTAAAAGATAGGTAAGTTGCGTAACCTCAAGAGGGACTAATATGAAAATTTAAAACTTTACTAAAGAGCATTTTTGAGAAAGCAAGTAGTTCATAAGGCGAAGTTAGTTAATTATTGCAAAAGAGGGTTCAAAAGTCTTTCAAAACATGAGAAGGCATTGGAAAAACTCCTTGGGTGTCTTATAGGATCAAAGTGTCTGCCAAATATGCTGATGACTTTATTAAAAAGTAGATTTGGCACGTAGCACATGCTTTATCTGTTTCAAAATATGGTATAGAAATAAGTACCTCAGCTCATATCACAGCAAGCATGTTCTGAAAAGAACATGAGGAGAAATATATTGCTAGACATTACAGTAAATAACTAAAAGTTGCTGTTAATGGAGAGTGGGAGACAGAAAAAGGAAAGGGATCAGGAAAGAAAAAGCAGAGAGGAAGCAGTTACGGAGGGGGGGGAAAGCACAGCTTTAATTGAAATAATATCAATCTTCCCAAGTGCAGAGTTATCCATTCTGCAAACACTGAGAAACAGCCATGCCCTGTTACTTAGCAGAGTAGTGGCATATGCTCCTCAGCCACCACAGTTAACAGGACAATATTTGAACTTAAATTGACTTCAAATTTGCTTAAAACATTGGCATCAACTCCAGAGGAGTACAGACAGCTCCTATCCCCAAATCCCTTGAACTGCTACAGCTAAATGTGAGTGAGCTCACAGATCAGAGCATCTAGCTGCACAGCCTGGCATTGAGTAGCTAAACGAGTGCCCAAATTTCTAATCATGTGACTTGGTTTTACTATGGGTCTGGTTTTGCAGAAGCATTTTCAGTTTATGTTGAACCTTATGAACTTATTTCAAATATGTCTATGACAGTGTTGTGTAATTACTCACAATATTACACATATACATACTGTTTATCAGCTGTGTACTATTTCTTTTATTTCTTAAAAAAAAAAATGAAGGCAGGCACTTAATTTCTTAAAAGGGGGGGGGGGGGGGAAGTGAGCATACTGCTATACAGAGAGTCTTCTACAGCACTGAACATAAAGAATCACCGTGCTATGATTTGCAGGCACAAAGGAAGGATGGAACCAGATGGGCTGCTCTACATGTCAGTGCAGAATTCTAGCTCAAAATACAGGACAGACGAAAGCTGCTAAATTCACACTAATTAATGAGACACCATTTAAAAATTACTACATTTTTGAGCGAGTGAGCAAACAGGCACTGACAAGAGCATGGATGATGAATTAAATTGATGTACCTAATTTGATTTTAATTACTAATAATTGTGGTGTAGCATATTTGGTAATAGAAATGAGAGCTTAGTAATGACTTGCTACAGTGACTGCTATTAAATCTTCGTTGGTATCAAAAGGGAGTCATGACAATTACTCTGCAGGAAAAACATAAGGTTCACGCAAAACATGGATGATTGAAGTTCTACCATTTAAAGAAAATCAGGCTGAAAGGGAGGCTCAATTTATTATCTGATATATTCCCCTTCAAGGTATTTTATCCTGTTCTTCCTATTTGTGTACTGAGATGGGCTCTGTTCTGTTAGACTCTGTCAGGCTGACTCCTCTGATTCTAATAGAAATATTTTTTCATCTTCAGAAGCCACTGAAAAATAAAATTCAGTGGGAACGTTTCACAGCTTTTACGTATGTCTGGGTGTAAAGATCCTTGAACTAGAGCAAACATGACGTGGCTGGTCTCTAGCATTGCATGTTGCAGAAAAACTAGCTCAGTCCACTTGGGATATATTAGCATTGCCTCTCCAGTAAGACCA